ATTGTTTTGTTAGTTTTTATCACTTTGCTTTGGCATAGAAAGCAACAGCTAGTCATGAGATTTAGCAGATGAACAAAAATACTGCACCGCAACACACAGGAAATAGAGGAAGTTGGTCATGAAGGTTAAAATGGAACAACTGAACAAAGTTTCAGATAAAACAACAAAAACATTAAAAAAAACTTGATGCATTTAGAGTTAGGAGCAGATAACACACACTTCATTCTGTTCTCACATCGAGGTGATTACACCCAACATATTTGCTTTAAACATAATTACAGAACACATTACTAGTAAAGTAATAAAACACAAAATATACACCATTACATTAAAAAAAGGTCTAGTTTCATGCAGGCTTTTGAAAACACATACAGTTCAGTCTGTGTTTGACCTAAAACTAAACTTTTGATTTTGGAAGCTTTAGTGTTTTATTGTTATTTATCTCCCAATTTCTACTTGAAATGAACGTGGAATTTTTCTTGCTTTAGTTCTTGAATGAATTTCTGTCATTTCTGCACGGGAGGCCTTCTGACTGTCACTTTCCAACATTCACTGCTATTCACATAAAGGCAACTTTATGTTGTTGTTGTTTTATTTACCAGAAACCACAAAGAAAAACAGTAGCAGCTTCAAATCATCCCACGTGCTGAATTTGTGGTTTTGCTGACAAAATGTCAGAAGCTACAACCGTGAAGAGTTTCGCTGGCTTCCTGTCAACCCACCCCATCTTACCTCCTCACCATTACTTTATTTAAAACTGATACAGAGAACGTGCAGATTCTCCAGAAATATGAATGCTTTAAATAATACTTTTACGAGAGCAGATGTGAAGATGAATTATTTTTGTTTTTGTCACCACTTCCTCACGCGGCAGCTTTTTGTTCACATGCCCATTTATTTTCTGCATAGGTGTGCAAACTTGTGTGACCTCAGAGCGTTGAGACGTTTCATGAGGAGCATGTTGTCAGTTTATCTGTCCTGGCCATGACATAACTGCCAACAACCCCTGAAGCTTTGTGGGGATGGGCGATCAGACAACACTTGTGGCGGGGATAACACCCAGTCAGTCTGATGTAAATACACGTATTAACTTTTACAGCGTTTACAATTCATTACTACCACGTGGTTTCATTTTACTGGTTAAAGTGCAACATTCTTACTCATCTCATGAGTTTTCCAATAATAACTATGACATATTGTTCAAGAATGCACGTTAAGTCAAATAAAGAGAGTGAGCTCTTTCATTTGTCTAAAGGCTGAATTAACCAAAAACGTTCTGCTTTGTTGTTTTCCTCTACATGCAGTGCCTTGAAAAACTTTTCACTCTCGTTAAACATTCACACATTTGGTCATGTTATAACCACAAACTTTATATTTGACTGAGACTTTATGCAATGGACCAAGACAAAGTATAATTGCGACATGAAAGTCATAATGAATGGATCTGACAAGCATAAATATAAATGACTCCTTATAGGAAGTTACAATTCTTCAAGAAGTTACAAGGTTTGAACAATCTAGCAAAATGCTCTGGTGAGATAAAGATTTCAACTGACGGTTGCTGGTTGATTGAGTCATAATAAATAAGATGAAATAAATTATTAGAGGTATTAGACTGACTAGAAAGATCACATTTTATGCAGAAATCAGGTTGGAAAATCAGTGCAAAGGAAAAAAACTGATTAGCTAACAGAAATTCTAAATAAATTGCTAACTAAAAGCTAACAGAAGATATCAATTAGAGGAGAGAACCAATTTGGAGTAAATTAAATGCTGTCATAAAAATAAAATGATTAGTTGAAGCCATGAAAAGCAAGTGAAGGGGCAGCTGAGGCTGAGTGGTTCAATCGTCCTCCAATGCAAGAGTTGGGGGTTCGATTCCACCATCGGTCACAAGCTGAAGTGTCCCTGGGCAAGACGCTTAACCCCTCGTTGCCTCCAATGTGGGTCCCATCGGTGCATGAATGTGATAGAGCATTGATTATAAAATAGAATGCTGTATGAATGGGTGAATGAGGGACAGATTGCATTATGGGAGTTTTGAGTATCTTGATAAGATGAAAAGGCTGTATAGTTGCGGTCCATTCACTATTTACCAAGATGACACATTTTGCCTGAAATCTAAAACAAAAGGTTGAAATGAGTGCAGAATAAATGTGAAACCAACTGAAAAGGCTCAAATTAGCATAAAAGCAGCTAAATGGTAGCTGAAATAGCAGAGAAAGCTGAAAATTACAGAAATAATCTGATAGGAGCTGAATAAATGGGTTAAATTAATTTCTTTTGACGGGAAAAAAGGTTAAAATAAAACAAATAAATAAATGAAAAATTCCTAGAAAACTGAAGTTACAAGTACCAGTATGAAGGATTGGTAATTTAAGGGAACCACGAAGGGGGTCCAGCACACCAGTACGAAGGACTGGCAGTTTTAGAGGTACCACGCAGGGGTATGGATATTGTGTTCAGAGGAACAGTTGGTGATCTTCAGTAAAATGACCAGGATGGGTAATAATCAGTAAATTAAAAACTGGAAGGTGATGTTAAATGTATTGTTTTTTTTATAGGATCAGAAAACGTATAAAAAGTGGAGCCGTGGTTTAAAGAGTTTCCGTTTGATGTGAAACTGGAGGTTGATTCATGTAAAAAGTTGGTGTCAAAAATACAAAATAAGCATGGAAGTGATGAGAAAAAGTGCATGAGAAGAAGTCTTGGCACTCAGTGGCACTCAGTCCAGGGTCAGTGGAATGTAAATGATGTTGGTGGACAGACCTTTGCTCTTTGACAATGAAGCTCTGCTAGAGAGGTTACATGAGCGTGTGGTTCCAGAGACAGGCAGATTGGACAAATGTCAGCAGATGTACTCAGAAAGATGGTGAAGGTGCCTCAGATTATCTGGAGCGGCTGAGACAGGTGTTTGAAGCAAACAGTGGATTAGCTAGACCAGGGGCATTGGACCCCAGAGGACCCTATGAGCAACAGATAAAAAGTGCTTTCCTGAGTGGATTACAAACTGGACTGTCCCAGTTTGTGAAAAAACATATGATAAACCACAGAACTGCAAATGTTGATGAAGTCTTAGATTATGGCGAGCATGCTGAAGATGTGTTGAGAGGTAAAAAGAAACGCAAAACTAAAGTGACTGAAGCATTCTATGAGGGTGAATGTGGTTATGACCTCCTGACCCCAAGTGATGAGACCACAGTTTATGTGATGCAAGGGAGAAGGGGTTGAGGGAGATCAAATGGTAGAGGCCGAGCGAGAGGGGCTTGCCATGCATGTGGAAGGCACGGACACTGGACAAGGGAGCGTGTTTGGTTTGAGTGTAGAACACATGGCTATTGAGCTAAAGATTGTAAACAAGTGGCAAATAATCAGCAGAAGGGTGACCCCTCCTTAAAAGATCAGGAGGAGGAGGTGTTTGCCTTAGAACATGTGGAAATGTTGTCATCATTTGATGATTGATAACGAACAAATGACCTTTCTGTGTGATTCTGGGGCTAAGAATCGTATCACAGATGTTTTTCACTTACTGAAGTCAAATATAACTCGTATTACCATGTGTGTGTGTTAACGAGTTGTTTTGTCTGGATCAGAGTGCTGCAAGAGGCTGCAACAGTCGCCTGACTTTGCCTTTGTCTGATAACATTTATAAAAAGATGCTCTTTTTGGCTCTCCGTGAGCAGACTTGGGACGGAGCGTCATGTAACATTTCAATGCTTGTATTTCAACACTGCTCCATCTTGCAAAATTAAAACCTGGGATTAAGAAAATATCTCCCTCGCCTGTGTGGCTATTTATTTAATGAGTTATTGAAAGGATAAAAAAAAAAAAATATCCTAACAGCAGTTTTCAAGTCTTGCCACAGATTCTCAATTGGGTTTAGTTCAGGACTTGGACTGGTCCATTTGGCACACTTTGATCAGAACCATTTCACTGCAGCTCGGCTGGATGTTTCAGGTCGTTGTCCTGTTGGACACACCTCCCACACGAGTTTCAAGTCTTTTGTAGCCTTGTCCTAAATTTAGCTCCATCCACATTCCCATCAACTCCGTCCAGCCACCCTGTCCCTGCTGAAGAAAAGCATCCCCACAGCATGATGCTACCACCACCGTGCTTCAGTGTTCAGAGTGTACAGTCTAAGTTTTCTGCCACACAGCGTTTTGCAGTTCGGCCCAAACAGCTCAACTTTTTGGTTCATCTAAGCAGAGTGTCATCTTCCATGTTTGCTGCGTTCCTACACAGCTTCCAGCAAACTACAAACTGGACTTCAAATATTTTCTTCCTGCCACTTTTTGATAAAGGCCAGATGTGTGCATTGTGGACAGATGTGCAGCATGGGCTCCCTGGCTGCTTTGCACTGCCTGTCAGTGTCTTTGTAGGTTTGCAGTTTGTCTTTTCGTTTTCAAATGTTGGATCGAACAGTTTACCGAACATTAAAAGCTTGGGATTTTGTTTTATAACCTAACCCTGCTTTAAACTCAACTTTATCTCTTGCCTGTTTGGTGTGTTCCTTGGTCTTCATGATTTAGTTTGATTGCCAAAGTTTTTTTTTTTTTTTTTCATAAAACTCCAAGGCCTTCACAGAGCAGCTGTATTTAGACTGAAATTCAACAACACACAGGGGAACTTTTCACATTTTCATTTAAAACCATCATTTTCCTCCCACTTCATAAAGAAGTTCTACTTTGTGTTAAGTCTTTCACAAACTCAGGAAATATATTTTCAAATTTGTGTGTGTAAATATTTTTCCAGGGCACTCCAAATGTCCCAATATGAGAAACTATCCCTCAGTATTAATAAGGAAAAAAAAAAAAATCTGTAAAAAAACAAACATACACATATAATGCAGGGTGAATTTTTCCATTGCTTTAGTTTCTCTTAAAACTGGAAACTTCTTTCTTATTAGTGTCAAACAAGGAGACCACACCAAAAGCTCCTGGTTCTGTTCGGCTTTCCAGACAAATGAAATGGACTCAGGTTAACTTTCTGTTGTAGCTTTAAATGTCCCCCTCCCTTCTCTCCTGCTTTTATAATCTGCGATTGCGCGTCAGCTCCCATTGGCTGCGTGAGATAATCGGTCAGGGCCGGGGGGAGAGAGTGGAGGACACAGGGCCAGCATGTTTACTCCCACACACATCCAGAATTAGTCTTCTTCCAGACCTGCTCAGAGTTTTAGTTCATTTTTTCTGCGGACACTAAAGGGCTCGCCTGGGAGGAGGCGTCTCCACCATGTTTGCGTGGCGCTCGGTGAGGCTGTCAGCGTCCGCCTTCAGGGGTCCGGGCTCGGTTCTGCTGCGGGTCAACGCAAACGCACCAGGGAGGTTCGCGACTGTGACGTTTCAGCGGCACCGGTTCTTCTTCTGCGGAGCTGCTGGCCTCAAACAGCGCGCGCACCTGGAGCGACAGAACCTGGAGCCCACACGCGTCCTGGACCGGAACACGTCGGCTGCTTTTGTAACATCAGACTGGAGCCGTTCGAACCGGGGGTCGGCGGCGGCTTTGAAGCTGTCCGACTTTGACCGCACGCGCGGCAACATCAGAGGAGGCACGTGGAAGAAGAGTGTTTTGTTTACAGGTAACTCCTCCGACATGCAGACCAGAGCTGCCTCCACAAAAACAGCCGCGAAGAAGAGCGAGGAGCAGGCTGGCGACGACAAAGGGGTAAATAAAATAAAAATAAATATGTGGTTGTTTAACCTCGGGTGACCCGGTCAGAAGAAGAAACAACAGAAAGAGGCCGCCATGACAGGAGTTTACACTTTCCCATCAAATATTCAGAGGCGAGGCGTTTACAGCCCTCATAGATTAAACCAGCCTCCACAAGAAAAACACCTTCCTGGAAAAAAACCAGGTTACAGCAGGTGAGTCATCATAAGTGAAAAGCTACCAAACAGCTGAATAAGTTTACTTTTGTCTAGCACGTGGCTCTTTTATAGGTGAGTCAACAAAAGTGTTGTAAAAAATCTATTAAACTGTGTATCTAAAGAGCACAGCAAACACTGATGTTAGTTCATAATTTATCACATGTCCACAGCTCTGACAGCATTTATATGATTCAAAGACATTGTGTTTGATGTAATTTTATTAGGTTTATTTAGAGATTGCATGATAAACATACTTTAAATGGATATGTATTTTATTAATCCCAAGGGGAAATTTCAGGCAGCATGTTCTAATTATACAGAAAAATAAATTGGTATAAAACGTATCAAGGTCAAGGTTGTAATTCGCATCGGATGTGGTACATGTGGTGGAATGAAAATGTGCGCACAGGGTCCCAGTTGCATCCAACAAAAGTATAAATTGTAAAAGAAAACCAGTAATAAGATCTAAGATATGAACTAAGAAATACACTAAAGTAAGAATACACTAAGCACTAATAGTACAAAAACATTAATACTCCGAACAACAGCAGCACGGACATGAGTCCGTGAGCAGTTGAGTACGAATTAACACAGCAGCATGAAATAAATCAGCAACATGAGATCAGCAGCATGTATAATCAGCAGCATATATCAACAATCAAGTGCCATTACAATGGTTTTTTTTTTCACAGTGATTATCCTGGTTAGAGATTCATGAGTCTAACAGCTTCAAGGTAGAAACTGTTCCTCAGTCTAGTGGTTCTACACTTAATGCTCCTTAACCTCCTGCCTGAGAGGAGCGGGGCAAAAAGTGTGTGTGCTGGGTGAGTGGGGTCCTTCATGATGCAGGTGGTCCTCTTCCTGCATCTGGAGGTGTAGATGTCTGTGATGGTGGGGAGACTGACTCCCAACAGTCTTCTGTGCAGCTTTCACCACTCTCTGCAAAGTTTTTCTTTCTGCAGCTGTGCAGCCTCCATGCCACACGTTGATGCTGGAGCACAGGATGCTCTCCACTGAACACCTGGAGAAGGAGGTGAGGACTGAGCTTCATCTCAGCTGCCTGAGGAAGTAGAGTCTCTGATGAGCTTTCTTGATCAGGCTGGTGGTGTTGTTGCCTCATCTCAGTGCTGACTCATTAAAATGACAGATTCAGTTGGAACCAAGATTGCAACTACCTGTCAAGGTCACATATAAAAATGCATTTGGATGAAATTACGGAAATTTGCCTTGATCATAAATATGGAAAATTACCCAGAATTCCATTTGTCATCTACAGGTAGCTGTTTACTTCCTGTTTGAGAAATGGTCATATCGTTCATTAATTTTTGAACATTTGCTCAAACAAAAGCTGCCTGATTTTCCTGAAGGTGAAATTTTTTTTGTTTTTTTAACAACACAATGACTTAATGTTTTCATCTTCTAGTCTACAAATCAACCAGTTTGATTTGTCAACACATACTCCCAACATGATGTTGAAGGCTAAAGACAATATCATGTCAATAAAAATCTCAATCTTTGGATGAAAAAAGGTTTATCACAAGTTATAAAAAAAAAAAAAAAAAGAAATTAAGCACATAAAGGGGGCTGCAGTAGCTTGGTGGTCAGTGCCATGCTCTTGCAATCCTGAGGTTGCGAGTTCAAGCCCAGGTTGTTTCAGAAAGGGCATCCGGCGTAAAACCCAAAATTTTCATGCAAGTTTGCTTGCTGTGGTGACCCCTGAAGGAACAGCAGAAATAAATATTCTCTTCTAAACACTTAAAACACTTCTGAACATTCATCAAATACATTTGCTAAAATAATTCATGGTAGTTTCTAAAAATATGTTGAAATTAGGCCATTTTTGTATTTGATGACAACTTTTCATGTATTTTCACTGGAAATTCAGGACCTTTGAAATTTAAAATGCTAGATGAAGAAGAAGCTTTTGTCCTTGGTTACCCATGTCCCAGGAGAAATTTGATACGTCTCCGAGGCCGTCGGGAGTCAGATTCAGAAGAGCTTGATTCTTGTTTTTCTTCAGGCAGACGGATTACTTTTTTCCAGCCTTGAGTCAATCTGGGCGTTCTGGTTCCGAAAATGCCTAATTGTGGGATTCCATTCCACTGATCCATGCTATGAGTCTCCTTCAAGGTCGAACCCACCATGCTGAAGAGTCCCAGAAGCCGCAGGTGGCCTGCGATTCTCATAAATCGCCTCCACCTTACGGTTTAGCTCGTAAACCAGATGATTTAAAGTTCCTACTGCACGGACCAAACCTTCACACTGACTCAAAAGCTTTTCCATGGCCGAAACTGCTACTGATGTCTTCTTCAAAAGTTGATAACAGAGCCCTGTCGATGCCAAAAAGCAGAGTCCCTGCTACCATAATTCCAAATATGTAAACGTCTTCAACATCCTCCTGAGACAGAACTGAGAGGCACATCAACTGCCACACTCCCCATGATCCATGATGTACCCCACAGCGTGTCTCAGCTGGACACGCTGGTTCTCCAGGACCTTGTCGCTTTGATAGAGTTAAACGCCCATAATACCAAATCCATCATCTTCTTAATTTATGTTCGGGAGATGTGAACCAGGCACTTCAGACACAATTCAAGATGGCTGCCACAGCGAACTAATTGGCTTAAAAAATGAACAAAAATGGCCTTTATTTTGTCTGTTTTCTTCAAAGCACCATTTTTAGCTCAGTTTAAAACGATATAGACAGAGCTTTAGACTATGGTTACTGATGTTGAACGATGAGCAACAATAAACTGCGTCACTAGCTATGTTTACATGCGCAAAATTCTTTGACCGGATTGAAATGTTTTCAGATTAAATAATTCAAATGTATCATTTACATGGGCACAATCTGTTCATGACAAGCGTTTACATGCAGCAGGCTTTGTTCTGAACAGAAGTATTGACATGCGCAGAGTGGTAAACTCCTTAAAAAAAGAAACACAGAAGAAGTAGTTCTACTTCCGGTTTACTTCCGGGATGAATGTAAACAAACCTGAATGCCCAAAATGGACCCGCGACAAGTTTTTACTGACGGTGGAGACGTTACTGCACTCCTTGACTGAGCTACAGGTAATTCAGATCATTTTGACCTCTTTCAAAGTTTCTAGTAGAAATGTTGTGTTGCTCACCGACCTGTTTTGCTTCTCCGACAAGCTAATATTATTAGCATTAGCCAGGCAGAAATGACAGGTTGCATATGCGCAATCAGGTCAGTTTTTCACGATCAGAAAAAAATGAATGGATCAAGCGTTTACATGTGCACCGTTCAGGTTATGAATCAGCGTAAACCACCCGTTTCATTCTGATCACAGATTCTTTCGGATCGCGCTGAATAAACAAAAAATTACCTGAACGGGGCATTTACACAACGCATTTTTATTCCGAATGGCTGTTTAATCCGATTTACTTATGTCCATGTAAACATAGCTACTGAAGTGTCAAAGTACATTCAATATGAGACTGCTCCTTTCTACAAGCAAGAGTTCAGGGATCAAAACCTCATTTCAGGAACAATAGAACGATAAATTTATTCAGAAGCTTGTTCAAAAACCAAAAGTTTTGTAGTTTTTTATTCAATTCAGTTTATTTTTATAGCGCCAAATCGCAACAAAGTTGTCTCAGGGCACTTTACAGGAACATTCACATACATATAAAAGTCAATTAGTAAAGTTCTCTATCTAAGGAAGCCAGCAGACAAGTTGAATCTTGGCTTCGTTGCAGTCTCCCATCCTGAGCAAGCACATTGGCAACAGTGGAAAGGAAAAACTCCCTTTTTTAAAGGAAGAAACCTCCAGCAATTTATGAATCCACATTACACGAACCTTAACCTTACTGCGTTAGATTATAAAACAACACAATTTTAGACATTTTTATTCCTAAAGTGATGAAAATGTTTAGGTTAAATAAAAATATTTGAAATGGTTAAGGTTAATTAAAAAATATAGTAAAATATTTGCTCTTATGAGCACCATTGACCCCTGTGACCCAAAAAGGAAGAAGCGGGTAAAAGATATTGGATAGATGTAGCTATTAAAAACTGAAACGATTACAAAATACACCTACCTTAGATATTTAATCAAATACAGTACATAATCAAATGTACTTTGTTACATTTTGTAAGTACTTTGTAACAGAGCGCTGTAAAAGAGTACAGCATTGGCATCCAGTATCCCTCAGAGCAGACTGCTTGTGTAAAAATCAGTAAATTTACATGTAAACTAAAAAAACAACAACTCTACAGCAGTTCAATCTAACTTTTCTCTTTGAAGACTGTCACAGTCTTGAGGGAGAATCGCCACTTTACCATTTCCCTCCTGCTGTGTGTGTGTTTGCTTAGTGCATGAGTGCGTCTTTGTCCATGTTTTCATGCCACTGTGACTTTGCATGTGTTTCCCTGCCTCTGAAAAGCTGTTATCAGACACAGCAGTGCCACTGTTCCCCTCCTACACAGCCTTCCTGGCACAGCTCCCTTTTGCTGCTCGCTCACATGACCCTCCCGCCATGGTGCCCGCCTTTACTTTGAATTTGGCCTGTCTGTCCCCTGAAAAGCCAAGGCCTGCTCCCTCACCCTCTCTGGGCTCATCCTATTGTCTATTGATGGCAGCTCAGTGGAGATGTGGCCAAGGTTTCATCCAGGAAGCTTGGGCCAAAATCCAGAAAGACTAATTGTAGCTAAGAGGAAAACAAATCAGCTAGAGGCTTTTCCCCAGTCACAAAGTAAAATGGTGAGCAGAAGAGTATGCACAACAATTAGGGAAAAAATATTTCACATTACAGGTTGACTTGCAGAATGTTTCCAGTTTTCAAATGTCTAAAACTTAAAGGCCTACCATTCCTTAAAGGAATGCATATTGCCCAATGCCTTTCAAGATCATCTCACAATGAGAAGGGATTTTGGCCAAACTTTGAAAATGACTGAGCCATCTCATGAGATATTGTGATATTCCATACTTAAAAGCCTGTGTTGGGGATGACTCTCAGCTACTACCACAAATGGGTAATTTTCTGCAATGCTAAGCTCTAATCATTTCTGTGTAGGCTAGTTAATTAACTGTGGCAGCCATCTTGAAGTGAACTGACTCCAAAAGTTAATCATAGATGCACATTCAATGATTGCTTTCTTGAAGTTTCATTAAAATTTATCCTCTAGTCCAAGAGATGTTTTGCTAACAGATTGCTATAAACCCATACACACATAGTTATGGGCAAAACACCTGAATAGACTTGTTTTTGTCTATGAGACAGCAGGTAACTCATTCTTTCATAACACTTTATAGTTTCATAATCCAGTAATTCACATAATGCAAAAAAGTAATAAAGTATGCTAATCTGCATCTTTTACTGAGAGTTTATGGATAATATTTGCAAAAAAACATGTATACATACTGTAAAAAGTACCACAAAATGTAAACCTATTGTTAGTCTAATTTATTTGCTGGAAAAGTTTGCTCAGAGCAGGTCTAAAAGAAGAGTCAGTATTTGGCCTGAAAACAAGACACAGGTATTTCCTGTTTTCTGAGAGGCAGAGCGTTTTTTTTAGTTTTTTTTTTTTAAATAGCACACAAGGTTGGATTTTTACCCTGGTAAACCAAACTAAAGTGAAACAATTTCAGAATAGGCCACGGAAGGGTGAAACCAGTCAACTTGAAGCAAAATGTTTCCAAATGTGCTTAACATCATATATTTTTGTCTTATCAAAGTAATTTCCAAAAGTTTGGCCAAGCCGTTAGTTGGGTGTGCACAGCCAATTCTTGACATAGAACTTATTCTGATGTATGCTCAATAATCAAGGTAGATGAATCTAACCAAGGCTGAGTCAGGTCCTCTGAACAGGTTCTTTTTTGTTGAAACGTTTCATTTTTTTTATCCAAAAGGCTTCTTCAGTCTGATGAGCTGCAAGCAAACTCAGCCTTATAACAATGCACATAATGGCAGATAACACACCGGAAAACAGTCACACACCAGGGAGACGGAGAAGTTGGTGAAGAATCTATCTGACAGACAGCCCACCCAGCTGGAGACAGAGAACTAGGGGGGACTAAACTTTGCAGTTGTGCCAAGAAGAATTCCTCTGGTGGAGATGATCACAGCCACTGAGTCAGCCATTCGCAACAACAAAATGTCAGAGTTTGAAATGTCAGAGTTTGGAGCAGACCAACTTGGGAACAAAGTTTCATCCTGCCTCAGCAATGCCAAACTATCACTTTCCAACATTAGCAGAGGGGAGAGGGATGTGCTCTCCTCTCTCAGCAAGGATAAGACCATCATCCTCCTTGTAGCAGACAAACTAAAATACACAGCGATTTTGAACCAGAAAGACTATCACAAGAAAGTTATGACAGTCCTTAGTGACTTAACAGCTCATGAACCACTGAAAAAAGATCCAGGAAGTGGTTTTAAGACATTGATAGAGTGTCTGAAATATTTGGAGCAGGACAAGGGTGTTGATTGTATTCTGTACCACAGAATGTACCCAGGGGAAGCAATGCCTTGTCTGTATGGATTACCCAACATTCACAAACGATGTACAGTTAAGAACGATGGTTAGCATGATTAACTCTGTAACTTACATTTCAAAATATCTGGCATCTGTACTCAACCCTTTAGTTGGCAGCTCAAAACATCACATACCGAACACCATGGACTTTGTGGATAAGGTGAGGGATGATATCATGGAGACTGATGAAACTGGTCTCTTTTGACGTCACATCACTCTGCATGTATTCCTATTGATGAGGCAGTGGAGGTGGTCTGTTTAAAGTTAAAATCAGGCACCACTCTTAGCATCAGGACCACACTTTCCACAGAGCAACTGTGCCAACTTTTGAAACTGTGCCTGCAGTCAACCTACTTCACATATGGGGGGCAGTATTATAAGCAGAAAAATGGGTGTGGTATGGGGTCTCCAGTTTCTCCTATTGTTGCAAACTTGTACATGGAGGAGGTAGAAAAGAGCCTTGGTGTCCTTTTCAGGGACACTGAACATCGTCATCAAACTCAGGAGCCAGTGAGAAAGAGAAATCCCACAAAAGACAGGCCCTGGAGCAATGTGGATATCCTAACTGGGCCTTCTTGAAAGCATATAAGGCCACTTTGCCACTGTTAAGCACGACTCCACTTGGCTCCACTGCTATCTGTTTATGTCAAAATCGGCACTTCAGAGCAGCCCACTTGGAACCACAAACAAGGTGGTCCCATAAACCGAGCTGAGTGGGGTGGATACAAACAGTGGGGAAGCCCTTAACTGGTGTTGTGCCATGCGGAGCCGAGGAGAGTTGAAACAGTGGCAAAGTGCTATAAAAAACCCAGACAGGACTCCAGCTAGCTATCGGGTGAAAATGAGGACCCCAAACCCAGACCAGTGGTCATTTTGTATGATGCAGGAATTTCAGAGAAACTGAGACGTTTATTTTTCTAAGCATGATGTCCCAGTGGTTTTTAAACCCCAAAATACATTACGGCAAAGACTGGCCTATCCCAAAGATCCAGTCCCTTGGCACAGAGTAATATTGTATATGATGTTAAGTGCCAGGAGGGCTGTGATCAGTTCTACATCTGGAAACCAATGCAGCCAAAGGATGGCCCAGCACAGAAGAGCAACATCATCAGGCCAAGACTCTGCAGTTTACCTTCATCTCCAGGCCAGCAGTCACTCTTTCAGGCATGAAGATGTTCACATCCTTGATAGAGAGGAATGTAGGTTCGATAGAGGAGTAAAGGAGGCCGTCTTTGTTGAAGAGAACTCGCCTGTCGTTAAACGGGCGGAGGCGTCCGTGTCCAATTACCCTCTTATAATGCTATTATTGCAATTATCACTCACCCCTCTATGAATAGCAAGTGGCCATGAGGTCACTAACCATTGGTTGTTAAATTGATGGTCCTCCTTTTGCATTTGAACAACTAGTTTTATTTGTTATCAACACATTGGTTGATCCACTATGAGAAGGTGCTACTTATAAGACGGGAGTTTGCTTGCAGGTTCTCAGACATGTTAGATTGATATATCGGTAGAACAGTTTTAACCGTGATTCCCATCAGATCTACGGATTTGGCTGTGTATCAGTGTTTGACATATTTGGATTTGATGTAAGCTGTAAAAAAAAAAAAAAAAAAAAAAAAACTCAGAAGGGCCAATGAGAACTTGATCCATCCATCATCTTCCACTTGTTCTGAAGTTGGATCATGGGGGTAGTTGCTTGGGCAGGGAGGTCCAGACATCTTTTTTCACAGCCACCTCTTCCAGTTCTTCTGGGAGAACTCCAAGGCATTCCCAGTCCAACCTAGAGACAGTCTCTCCAGCGTGTCCTGGGTCTTCCCCAGGGTCTCCTCCTTGTTGGATATGCCCAAAGCACCTCCCTAGGGAGGCACCCAGGAAGCATCCTTACCAGACACCCAAACCACATCAACTGACTCCTCTTGATGTGGCGGAGCAGCAGTTGTACTAGTTCCATCTCTCCCAGATAAAAGAACTTCTCACCCTATCTCTAAGGGAGAGTCCAGCTACCCTGCGGAGGAAACTCATTTCTAATGCCAAACTGCTGAGAGAAGTTGAATGAAACAAAAAGGCCTGAATGACAATGTTCTGTCTATTGCAGTTTATTAAAACAAGCCACAAATCTCCTGACCTTGTCCCACAATCACACGTGGCAGGATGGAAACAAGTTGCATCTGCTCGGCATGACTGCAGCTCCTGTGGTCAGCTAAAAGATCAGGATTATTTACCTGCTGTGAAACTACAGCTCATCTCTTGTTCTCACCGTGGATGCTTTGATCCAGTTTGTTGTAGTCCTGGTGTATGGTGTTGGTTAACTAATCTGCTTCTCTCACACATGCACACATGCTGCAGTGACCTGCCTTCCTACTGTGATGCTGTCAGTGTTTTGTGCAGTGAAGTGTCAGAGGTCACAAACAGAGTGATCTGTGTATGTGTGCGCCTATCAGAGGCTCTTTGTGTGTAGGAGACAGTGACTGACATCTTGAATGAGTGTGTGAACGAGGGAGTGATCATGTGAATTACCTAAACCACACAGCAGCAGCCAGTCTGTGTTTAATCAGCTGACTCAGCTGCTCCATGAACAGTGGGAGCTCATAAATTGGATGACCCACAATCGCAGCTCTGTTTCTGTGTTTTATAAAGCCATGTTCATTTCTACAACCAAATTAAATAATATAAAAAAAACATTTTGAAACAAACTTTACCCTCATATCTTTCCATGTAGATCATGCATCTTTTTTTCTCATTTTATTCTGTTTTATTTTACGCTTTTGTTCAGGATCTCCAGGAGGCCTCAACTACCTCAACCACAGAAAAGAGTCTGGAGGACAAACCGGAGCAAGAGGAAGGAAAATTCAACAAAACCCAGCAGCTAAAGAAAGTCTTCAAAGAGTACGGAGCTGTGGGAGTTTCCTTTCACACCGGGATCTCGCTCATGTCTCTGGGAATGTTCTACCTCCTTATATCCAGGTCAGAAAATAACTCCCAGGTGTCATAACATAACTCCAAGTATTGTATTCACTTAATGTTGACATAAATCTTTTGCAGCTGAGGTTATGGATCGTTACAGTTTCAAAAGTACATCTCGTGCTGAGAGACCAATCTCCACGGTGTCATTACCAAACAATAACCTTTTTTTACTGGCTTGTTTAATACTTTTTTTAATTAGTCATTTTGTTATGAGTAAATTAAACCCTGATCTGTTCCATAACCTCTTGATCAGATTGTTGTCTGGTTACTTACATTTTTTTGTATTTCCTAAAATGCTTGTAGAATGTAATCGAAGCACAAAGTCAGCACAAGTAAAGCCCGAAGAAGGAAATGATAAATAAGAGAACTCTGGAATTCGGCACACATTTCCTCCCGATCTTATCAAGCAGTGTAGTGACCCTTATGCATCGTAAAGCCTGGTCCGGCCTGGATCTGCCACAGTCGGCCCAGCCCCGGTCTTCCCCGGCTCTGGTTTTGTTTGCTTTCAGCAGAGTGCTGCCTCAATGTGGGTGGGATTGTCAGCAGAATCTCAGCTCAGCAATAACTGCACCTTGTCATTTGTCCAGGGAACTGGTGCTATCTTTTGTCTTGCCATTTTTCTAAAGAAAAACACAAGAGCTCTCTATCACACAACTGGCCAGAAGAAAGCAGCTGAAGGAAACCGTGGTAAGGAGCAGTTGCTGGAATTATGACAACTGTGACGTGACCCCTCGGGCCAGCAAACCAGTCAAGGGCCAGCAGTCTGCTGACGTCAAATCTGCAGCAGCAGCCTGGCCCGAATGGAACCCCAGCTCTGTGTTGCAAAAATCAACCTTGAACTGGGCCAGACTGGGCCAGACTGCCCAATACCAACACTCAAAACCTGGGGTGGAACCTGGGTCAGGCCAGTCCAGGCCCAGGACTGTTGTGCAGAGTGCATAGTGTGTTCATTACATTACAATGCATAAGGACCATTAGAGTATTAGAACTGCAGGCTGCTTGTAGGCTGAGGAATGTACCCTCCTCCACCCCCATGTACAAAATATGGCCTCTTCTCTGACTGAGAGCAAAGTACAAGCCATAAATAATTTCCTCCTATCTTTGAAATACTACAACAAGTGGATTTTATTAATTTGAGTGTAAAGTTACTTAGATTCTGTGATTTAAAAAAAAAAAAAAAAAATTTTATGAGGGCAATGAGAAGACATACGTATGTGTGTGTGTGTGTGTGTGTGTGTGTACGAGAGTTACATACCAACATACCAGAAATATTTTGCAGCCGTTATCTGACAGGTTGGAGATTTCCTCCTGTAGCTGATGACATTTTGAAATGAAAACTGGCTGCAGGCATTAATGTCTGAGCATTCTCGCCATGAGCCCACAGAGTCCAGGCACGAGGCCTGCTGATACTCTGCGTGCAGAGGAAACTGCTGTCAGGGTGCAGACAGATCTTCATCTTTAACAGATTTAAGTTTGCAGAACTCTCTGTGGCTGTTAATGCGTGAGAGAGGCTGCACTGCCAGAAGCAGCTTGAAGCCACATTCCTTACATATTTACTGCTTTAAATAGCTTGGAAACAAATGCCATGACTGTGCATTACAAAAGCTTGTTTTGCGAAGGCCACAAAGCACAAAGCTAAATAATAATTTCCCAAATGATCGCAAGTTGATGTCATTTGTTTAAACGTGAATTTTTAGCTCTTTTCCTAATGAGAGCACACCTCCCTCTGGTGGAGACAAACAAGAACTACATGCAATGTGGCCACAGCTTAAAAAAAAGTTCTTGCAGAGTAAAACTCTTAATTTGTCTAATGGAAACTTGAAATAAATCTAATATCATTTTCAATATACAGAAATGCATCCATTTAAAACAAATTATTTAAAAAATGCTGAAGGTATAATAGTACACATGACATTTGTGTGTTTTCTGATTGTAGAGACATGGCTAACTGACACAAACATGAAGTATTTCCTAAAAGTTTATTTATTTATTTATTATTATTATTTCTTCTTATTTTTTTATTTTTTTTTTTTTTGTAGTTTGAGGACAGTTTTCAGGCATACAGTCCTAAAAATCTGTCATTAATATGTTAATTCTATGACCCTCTAACTGGGTTTCTGTGCCTCTTGGCTCCTCAGTGGGATTGACATGGCAGCCATACTGTGCAAACTGGGCTTCAGCGATGCCATGGTTCAATCCAAGATGGCAGCTGGAACCAGCACCTTTGTCCTGGCCTACGCCGTCCACAAGCTCTTTGCTCCCGTTCGCATCAGCATCACGCTGGTGTCAGTTCCTCTCATCGTTCGCTACTTCAGAAAGACTGGACTCTTTAAACCGCCCACACCTGCACCCTGATGACTTCTCTGCTCTGCTGCCTCATGAAACAAACAGGAAGCTCTTTAATCAGAATGTCTGTATGTTAATTTGCTCATGTGCCTGTGTGTGATGCGTCTCATGTTTACTCTTTGCATTTGTGAATCCAGGTGACATATTTTCTGTTCTAAATCCGCTGTAACAGAATCTGGAACAGTTTTACTTGATGTTAAAGTTAAGAGATGCATTTCAGAATCATGTCGTTAATATTTATGCATTCTGAACTTACAGAACAAAAAGAAAATTTGAAAGTTTTATTTTTAATCTTTTGCCATGTTTTTCTTTATGACCCAGAAGTAAAAAACTTATGTTTGTGGCCTAATGGGTTAATGTTGAGGGTTTCAGGTGGGTGTAAATTGAAACAAGCTGATTCTTTCTCCTCTCTTCTATAGATGATTCTGATATGTTCTGGTGTTTTGAGAGTCATTAGGTTTTTATTTTATATCCCCGTCTTCTTCCTTCTGTCCCTACTTCTTACATTTTCCCATTTTCCTTATTCATATTCTCATGTTTAAAAATACCACAACTCAAGTATCTTATTAAAGCTCATTAGCGTACAGAGTATTTGTTATAGAGGGTTTTGAAGATGGACTGTGTTGACTCTGTTAAATTTAGTAGACATTTATTTTTGTTGTCATCCAGCCAATATTACAAAATCATATAAGACTTGATGTAACTTTGTCTTAATTTTGTAATTAAATTAAAAAAATAAATTATTAAAACATCTATTACTGTGGGTCGTGAACAAAGAGCTATCACTAGAACTCAATATGATCCAAAGATGTTTTTTTTTTCTTTTTTTTCTCCTATTGTTTAGATTTTATCGACTTTTCTGGTTCCCTCTTGCTGTTGTCATTGATGTTGTTTCCAGCTTTATCAAGCTGATATATCACCGTCACCTCCATGCCTTCCATTAAAACAACTAAACCAGCTTTTTCAGAGCCCTGACCTGCCCCTCAGGACCTGCTGATGCAAAAATAATAATAATTAAAGATTGTATTAATGTACCCAGTATATGAAAATCAAAATAAATCTGTATATTGCTGAATAGTTGAAGCAAAAAAAAATAAAATAAATATATATATATATATACTGTAGCCAGTTATTTTAGTTGCCTGCTGCGTTTAAATAAAGCTGGCAACCCAGACATAAAAGGCAGCAGTTGATGTGCATTTCTTAAGACTTTTTTATTCTGAGGTATCTTGAATTCTGCTAGAAAATTCTCTTGAAACAGAATTTTTTTCTGACTTTTCTGTAATCAAAACACCTGCAATTAGAAAGAGTCTGAGCTGCAACAATCCAAAACCTGTCACTGAGGCTCCTTACTGTGTGGCTGAGATGTTTTTTTTTAATTCAACCTTTATTTATGCAGGCTAGCCTCATTGAGCCACGGGACTCATTTACAAGAGGGACCTGTTCCAGACTGAACATATAAAGTACAGATAACAACGGTAGACAATGGCAACAATAAACTACAGTAAAAATGCATTAAAATAAGAGTAGTGTACAAAATAAATCTGTGTCGTAAAGCGGTGAGATACTAAAAACAAACCTATTTGCTTTGATTTTTCTATTGACATTATCAAATGTTTGAAACTCCTTAAATAAATCAAGGTGGACAGCTTCAGTTCCTGTTGCAATTTGTTCAAGGTTGCAGGAGCTGAGTAGGCCTTTTTGCCAAGTTCAGTCCGTACTGAGGGAACGCTGCAGGTAATGAGGGCCTGAGAGCGCATGTTGTAACTGCACTGACGGCATGATAAATGGGAGGAGATGTAAGAAGGTAGACCAAGGAGGGATTTATAGATGAAGCTGAACCAGTGTGAGACCCTATGTGTAAAGAATGATGACCAACTGACCAAGGAGTACAGAGTGCAGTGATGGGTACGGTAGTTACAACCATGAAGCTTAGCGCACCATGGTAGACAGCATCCAACATCTTTAAGGAGCTGGCAGAGGCATTCATGTCACCATAGTCAATGGCTGGCAGGAAAGTAATGCTTACAAGGAGTTTTCTGGCATTCAGAGGTAAGCAAGATTTATTTTCTGAAAAAGAAACACAGTTTTAATTTCAGTTTCTTTATCAAGTTTTTGATGTGTGGTTTAAAAGAGAGATGTGCATCAATTAAAAATCCCAAGTATTTGTAAGAATCTACAAACTCAATAGGAACACCATGCATGGATGAGATAAGAGGAAGAATTGCTGGCACTGACTTCCTGTTGGAAAACCGCATCCCTTTGGTTTTGTCAGCATTTAGCACCAGTTTGAGATGGAACAAGTCTGACTGAATGATGTCAAATGCAGACTGTAGAAACTGGAAAACCTTGGCAACTGTGTTAGCTCGACAATAGTGTCATCGGCATAGAGATGCAAGGATGGTTCAGGGATGTTTAGACCTACATTATTTATATAAATTGTAAAAAGAGTGGGACCTAAAACTGAGCCTTGTGGCACACCATTGGTGACCATTAGGTAGCGAGATGAAGTACCGTTATGTCGAACACATTGTCTCTGACCTGAGATATAGTTTGAGAACAAACCAATAGTGTGATCTGAGAAACCAACATCTGAGAGCTTGTGGTATAAGATGCCATGATCTATAGTATCAAAGGCTTTGGACAGGTCTAAGTAAAGTGCAGAACAGTAACCTTTAGCATCCAGAGCTTCAACAACATCATTAAAAACCTTTAGCGAAGCAGTCATTGTGCTATGTTGTTTCCTGAAGCCAGATTGGAGAGAAGATAAAATATTAAGAGTTCAAATAATTTTAACTTGAGTATTTATCAGTTTTTCTAAAACCTCAAGTAAAATACAGAGTTTAGAGATTGGTTGATACTTGTTCAGTATAGTGGGGTCTCCTCCCTTCAATAATAGCAGCACAAAAGCTGTTTTCTAAGCATCTGGGACAGTTTTATGTTGTTTAGACAGATTGAAAATGTAAGACACTGTTTCTGCTATAATTTGTGCGACTTGACTTAAGAAGTAAGGAGGGAGGTCGTCAGGGCCTGCAGATTTTCTACTAGTTCAAGTTCAAGTATCTTTATTATCCCCGAGGGGCAATTAGTTTCACAGTCAGTAGATGTGTACATATACACAAATACACATACATACATACGCATATATATATATATATATATATACATCCATTATCTTTACCCGCTTATTCCATTTTGGGTCACGGTGGTCGCTGGTGCCCATGTCCAGCAATCACTGTGCGAGGGGCGGGGTACACCCTGGACGGGTCGCAAGTCCATCACAGGGACACATAGAGACAAATGAGACAAACAACCATTCACACTTTCACTCACACCTAGGGACAATTTAGAGTTACCAATCAGCCTAACATGCATGTTTTTGGTCTGTGGGAGGAAACCGCAGCACCCGGAGAAAACCCACGCATGCACGGAGAGAACACGCAAACTCCACCCAGGAGGCCCCTGGACTGGGGTTTGAACCAAGGACCTGCTCGCTGAGAGGCAGCAGCTCTACCAGTTGCGCCACCGTGCTGCCACATTGAGGTCAAAGGTCAGATTATCATCAAAAACAGTTCCTAGGTATTTATATTGTTGCACCATCTCCACAGCTTCAATGTTAATGACCACGGTAGCTGCAACTGAAGAGTCTTTTCTAAAATCAATGACCATCTTCTTTGTCTTAGAAACATTTAGCTTTAAAAAGGAAGACTCACACCATTCAGTGAAGTCCCCGACCACAAGCCCGGGGTCTGGGTCATCACTGCTGAGAAGGGACAGGATGACAAAGACATCAGCAAACTTTAAAATGTGACGCTGAGAGAAATGGCTGCGACAATCGTTTGTGTATAAAATAAATAAAAGAGGCAAAAGAACACAGCCCTGAGGGGAACCAGTAGAGGACAGAAGGATATCAGAGAGGACCCCATTAACCCTCACCCGCTGAGACCGAACAGTTAAAAAGTCCACAAGCCAACATATGAGACCGGAGTCAAGATGATACAGACATTGTAATTTCTCTGCTAAAATGTGGGTCTGAATAGAGTTAAAAGCAGATGAAAAGTCAAATAAAAGCAATCTTACAAATGTTTTTATACCTTCAAGGTGTCCTAAAATTATATTTAAAAGAGTTCCTGTTGCATCTTCCACTCTATGTGAATGATAAGCAAATTGAAGAGGGTCCAAATGATCTTCAACTTTTGACAGGAGGGTCTTCCGAACCAGTTTTTCAAATGACTTCATAACTAAAGATGTCAGGGCAACAGGCCTGAAGTCGTTCAGTGACTGGGCAGTCTTGGTTTTGGTACTGGAACAATGACAGAATCTTTCCAGAGCTGTGGGACCCTAAAGGTTTGGAGAGACATGTTAAAAAGAAAACAGAAAATGTCAGCAAGCTGCAGGGCACAGTTCTTAAGAATACGACCCCCTATGCCATCAGGACCTGGACTTTTCCTTTCTTTAGTCTTTTGAAACATGTTAACCACACTTCCAATATCAATATTCACTGTTGCACCTGATGACGTTTCTTTAAAAACAGAAAGCTCCTCTGTAAAATCATTAGTGTTAAAACGATTGTAAAATGAATTAAAATCATTTGACAGTTCCAAGGCGGATGAGGAGTTAAGAGTGATGCAAGTTTTCTTATTGGGCATCCCCATTCAATACTACCCAGATCTTTTAACAGTTTGGTAACCTCACTGACAGAATGGTGAAAAAGAGAATGTATGTGGTTTGACTTGTTGGTGGAGTGGGTGATTTACCTTTAGAAACCGTATTAAACAAGGAACTGGAGCTACAAAATGTTTGTTGAAACAGTTTAGCATCTCATACAGGAGCAGAGTCGGCAAATAATGATGTCAGATGTCAGCCTGACATCAACTGTCAACACTGAAAGTGTGCAGATAACAGATTTAATTGTGTGTTTTCAAAAATTGCATGTGAAGTTTAGTTTTACTGGTCTCATCTCATTTAGATTGACTTTAATTCTAAAAGAGGATTACAAAGTAGTTGAAATGACATCTTAAGAGTGCTCTCACCGTGGTTTAAATCAAGAAACATTTTGATTTGTTGATAGTGTATTTGACGTCAGTGAGCCATCGGCTCAACAGGCAGCCTGGATTAGCTTTATTCAGGCTAAGACCTTATCATTTTACAGTGTGGGGGGAAAAAAAACTAGATTTTTATGACTATTTCCATTAACATGCAAAACAAATTGCCTTTAAAATGTTAGCCAGGAAGCAAAGGGAATCCAGCTTTATTCAGTAATAGTTGCTTATGTGTCATTTTCTTTAAAAGTTTTGCGCAATATTTTAAAATATTCACAATTTGATTTTAGTAAATCTGAAAAGAGGCTGCAATTCTCACATGTGAGCACACTGGGGAGCTCCAGACATACAAATATACAGGTTTATCCTCCATTCTTCTGGTGCCACAGCTCTTATTACATGTTATCCTCTTAATAGCTTTTACAAATATCCAGTCACTAATGCAATTCTCATAGGTATTACAGTCAAAAGTGTTGCCATACACGGGATAAAATCACAGAGGAAGTTCTGTCCAAACTGATAGAAATACCTCGACAATGCCATCCTGAGGTTTTGGGTCATCACGCGCAGAAAGATTCATTAGAAATCATTATTCTTGTCTGTAATTATCACAGCGGGGGCCTATCTGTTCCCCAGTCCTCCTCT